GAGTCCACAATATCACATATGAACGAATAGGAAAAATCAAAATCGTAGGTTTTAAGCTGAAACAAGACCGCACATTAAGGAAAGAAAGAAAGGAAATTTTTTTAAATTCCATGTAGCCTCTCGAAGTTAGGTATGGACGTCATCATACCAATCCGCAAGACTCTACTGGACACTTACTCATGACTCGTAGAACCTACGAGCCTAGTGCTCTGCTACTAACTTATCACGACCCAAAATCCACTAGTCGTAATGGTACCTAACCCAACCTGCTAGGTAAGCCAACTAGCAATCAACATGATCCAAATGAGATTAATGAGAAATAAATGATGAAATAACTGAACTTTTATACAACAACCCAAGGACTGGTAAGACTGGATTTTTGTAAGAACTGATGTGAAATAAATACAACTTTTGTTTGGAATGTACATAAATAGAATTCAACTCTAAAACTACCCAGGGACAAGTGGTAACTACATCCAGAAGGCAAGTGCATATTCAGTGCTAGCTCCCGTCATCCACTGCAACTCAGCTCCAAGATCTACACACAAGGTGCAGAAGTGTAGTATGAGTACAACCGACCTCGTGTACCCAGTAAGTATCTTATCTAACCTCGATAAAGTAGTGATGAAGATTTTTAGTTAAAAGATACTCACTGATATAACATGTACAGTAGAATTGCAATATATAAATACTAAAACATAAAAGAAAAGAGTACAAGAACAAATATGCAAAGCAGTAAATGATTACTAGAAGAAATCACGGTCAATATTTTTGTCAATATTGCAACCAACCCTTTCCTTAAAGCGATGACCAACAAACTACGGTGGTAAATCTATAACTTTCATAGTGTGAGAAATGTACTCAAGATATCAAATCAAATGGCACGGTAACACCCATCGTGTATTTATCTCATCCTCACTAAATATACGTATAACAGTACCAACCAAGTGAAAGAAATGCCAATAACATTAACAACAAAGTGAGAAAAACAAATGTAGCAATAACGAACAAGGCAATACATATGGACAATGGTAATAGACTAGGTGGGAGGCATAGAAGTAATGATAGCAATTTCACTAACTAGTATGGTGGCAGGCTTATACGAAGGTGCAACATATGAGAAATAACATAGATGTAGATATATCAAACAAGAAGAAAAGCATGATCTTTATAAGCTAAACAAAATAGAAGGCATGGATGACTAACATGGTAGAAGGCTTATACGAAAGCGCAACAAATGAAAAATGGAATAGATGTAGATATAACAAACAAGTAGGAAAACATGATCTTTATAAGCTAAACAAATTGAAGGAATGGATAATATATCAACAATTTAGGTAGAGGACAAAGACAGAACATCAATGACAAGTCACATAAAAAACATAGGTGTAACAGTAACAACTCAAGATAAAGGCATAAATGTATACACAAGGAAAAGACATCAGAATATAATGCATGTCTCTCGTCCTCACCCGCACGGAAATACCCTTCATTCCATGAACACACGATAATATAAAAACAATGGCACTGCATCACCCTTCGTGCTTTTACTCTTATCCTCACATGATAATGTAAATGAAATGGCACGGCATCACCCTTCATGCTTTACTCACATGGCACGACATCACCCTTCGTGCTTTACACTCTTCCTCTTATGGTAATATATATGAAATGGCACGGCATCACCCTTCGTACTTTACACTCTTCCTCATCAAGCACATGTATATCAATAACAAGCAAGGTAGGAAGCATGAATGACATCAATGAGACTGATTAAGCGAATATTCCAAATGAACATAAATCATAACTTTCCAGCCAATAACAATTCAACAAACCTCAAGAACCTCATTGTTCAAGTATCACAACCAATCTAAAAATAATGATCTTCAACTCAAGTATAGAATCCAATATCTCAAGAATAACGGTCGTAGCGATGTGTTTGTGATAAAGTATAGTGATGACCGAATTTAGCACATTAATAGTTTCACAAAAATCTGTCAAATTTTAATCAAGTTTTAATACGCTAAATCATGGTTTCTTGCATTTAACTTCATATTCATATTACTCTAGAAGTCAAGTAAAACATGAAGCCGGAAGGTCACATATTCCAACAAAGCACAAATAATCATAATATCTACTCCCGAGCATGATTAACCCTGGGACATGCATATATGCTCGTCACCACATATATGCATCAGCCCCGCATGTAGCAAACAATATCAATTAGTAGAAAAAATTCCCCCAATAAAGTTAGGCAAGACATTTACCTCAAACAAGCAAAATCGATACACTAGAAGTGTCATCCCACTCAAATTGACTTCCAAACGGCTCAAAACTAGCCAAAAACAACTCAAAATCATCAAATAATGCCATAACAAGCAAGCTCAAACGATAACGGTCGAATCTTTAATCAAATACACAAAGTCAAACCCAAACCCGCACCTCAGAACCCGGCAAAACTCACAAAATCCGATAACCCATTCAATTATGAGTCCAACCATACTAATTTCACTCAATTCTGACTCCGAATCGATGTTCAAAACTCAAAATTTTACTTTAGTAAAGTTTAGACAAAATTTCCCAATTTCTCTTTTGAAATCATCAATCAAATACCAAAAATTAAGATAGATCTATGAAATATAATTAAAACTGAGTAGAAAATACTTACCCCAATCCATGTAGTGAAAGTAGCCTCCAAAATCGCCCAAATCCGAGCTCCAAAACTATGTGAGAAAAAGTGACTAAATTTCGGAATAAGTAAAATATTGCAGCAGCTGTTATAACTCGAACTAGATCTTAGATGATACCAAAACTCATATTTGATAAGTCCAACATAATTCTTGCAAAATTACACCCATGATAGCCTTTTGAATTACCCAATTTGGCCTTAAAATGAGGGAGATATGATATTTTGAAGTTTTAAAGGAAGTCCAAAAATTTAATGGATAAAAATGATATTTTCGTAATTATTTTATACCAGAAAATCAGCAACTAAAGAATCTTCGTTTTAGCACCCAAAACTAATTCGGAACCTCCCGAAAACAAATCATATATGCATTTCAATCATAAAATATTTTACGAACATGCTCGTGCACTCGTCATCTTGAATCGATATTGACCATGGTCAATCTCCAAATCCTTAACTTAACTAGTTTCTCAACCAACGATGCAAAACACACCTGAACCCCTCGGGACCCCATCCAATTATACCAACAAGTACAAATACATTATACAAACTTATCCAAAGCCTTAAAACATCCACGGGAACATCACCACAAAGAATCGAGGCTCAAACGGAATAGAATTTCTCTGAAGTTATTAAATCTTCATTCTTTCAAAAGAGTGTCCGAATTACACTTAAACACTTCAGATAGTCTTGGAACACCAATTGGAGTCCAATAACATCAAAAGTCAACTCTTGGTCAAACTTATGAACTCTTAAGTTTTTCAAATTGCCAACTTTCGACAAATAGTGTCGAATCCTTCTAGGAATCTCCAAAACCAAATCCAAACATACGTACAAGTCTAAAATCATCATACGAACCTATCGAAATCATAAAAACTCAATTCCGAGTCTGTTTACCCAAAAGTCAAACCTTGGTCAACTCTTCCAACTTAAAGCTTCCAAATCGCGAGTCATTCTTCTAAATCAATCCTGAACCACTCAAAAACTTAAACCGACCATACATGCAAGTCATAATACATCATATGAAACTACTCAAAGTCTAAAACTACCGAACGTAACACTAGAGTTCAAAACAGCTGATCGGGTCATTACACTCATATAAAAAAAGGTTCGATCTTTAACATATTCAGAAAAGTTAACAAAAAGTCAATCCGAGACCATGTGGTCGAAATCCAATATTAAGACCAAATCCTGATTATTCATTCACCCCCAAGTCCAACTATATGATTTGTTTCGAGATCCGACCTCTAATCGAGGTATAAATCTCTAAAAAACAACATACTAAATTTCTACCCAAAATCCCTATTTTTACTGTATGAAGTCTTAGATTAAATAGTGAAAATCCATATAAAAGTAATCAAAATTGAATAAAAACAAGCTAAAGTTTCTAACCTATGAAGTTAGGAAGAAATTATTCTCAAAAATCGCCTTTATATGGAGTCTAGGTCTCAAAGATGGAATAAAATGAGCTAAATCCTGAAATTCCAACCTTTTACCCAGCTGCAAGTATCTTAATTATGAATTCTTGTTCGCAATTGTGATGTTCACAAAAGAGAACAACTGGTAGCAAATGCGAACAGTCCTTGAGCTCCCTGATATCGCAAATGCGATAAACCTTCGCAATTGCAAAGGCTGGAACCTCCGCAAATGCAAACAAAGGTTCGCAAAAGCAAAGCTACTCCTACTATGCCCAGAGTCGCAAATGTGACAATTATCTCGCAAATGCGAAGACAAAATCCCTTGCAAATGCGAGCCAAGCTTCGCAAATACGAAGTTGTCAAGCCCCTACACAGCATCGCAAATGCGAGGCTCATATTTACGAACAGACTCTCGTAAATGCGGGGTCTGCAGCACCTACAAATTCTAAATCCTAGCAAATCAGTCTGGAACTCATATGAATCTTACTCGAGTCCCTCAGGCTAATCCAAATATTCATACAAATATAATAATATCATACGAACTCGCACGCAAGCTCAAATCATTAAAACAACATCTTAAATCAAGAATCAAACACCAAAACTCAAAGAACTTCAAAGTTCATATTTTGAATTTCCAATTTTTCACATTAAGTGTCGAAATAGCTTTGAGTCAATCGGGATCCCAACCAAACATGCGTACAAGTCCAAAAATCGTCATACGGACCTACCGGAATTGTCAAAACACCGATCCGAGATTGTTTACCAATAATATTAACTGCGGTCAACTCTGGCCATTTTCAAGTTTAAAAATCAAGTTTTCTTTTAAAATTCATATTTAAGCTTTTTGAAAATTTACACTGACCATGCACGCAAGTCATAATTCATCAAATGGCTTTACGAAAGATCTCAAATCATAAAATGAGGAGCCAGTACTCAAAATAACCTATCAGGTTGTTACAAGAGCTTTTTCCTGGCACCATGACTATCACTGAAACAAGGGAGAAATCTACTGAGAAATTGGTGAAAAAACTTGACAGTCAATTACAAAATTATATTACATCAAATGATTCAAAAATATAGGATATGAATAAAAAGAGATCTCTGGTGGATAAACTTCTCTTGAATTATGATGGAATTTTGGGGAGTCCTCCAGCTGGTATCAATTGGCAAAAGGATTTGGCAACAGAACAAGATTGGGTGAACAATATTATGGCACCATGGCAAGGTTTCAGTTGAATAATTACAATCATAGGGTGGAGTTTCCATACTTTGACGAAATAGATTCTCGCACTTGGTTGAGGAAGCGTGAAAGACTTCCTTTTTAATCATGTGACTGACCCACAACAAAGCTGGAGATGGTTGTTCTTCACCTTAATGATAAGGCCGAATCTTGATTGTTCTCCTATAATTTGAGTAAAGGGACAATCAGGTAGACTAATTTTACTGAAGAACTATGCACAAGATTCATTGAATCTGATAGCCACTTCAATCTAATGGAAAAATTTAAAGAATTGAGTAAAAGGGTATAGTTACTGAATACCTAGAGAAGTTCGAAGATCTTAAGGCTTGGATCTCTATTAGAAATCCCACCATCCCTGAGGATTTCTTCTTGGGATACTTTATTCAAGGGTTGAAGGATGAGATCAAGCAATGCTGTCAAAATGCTTGCTCCATTTACCTTCAACCAGATTGTTGAGAAAGCAAAGACATTAAGAGGAATTGTTAGATACTGCGAGTAGAAAGAACATGGTAACATGGAGTAAAAATATTTTACAGGCTAATAATCATCCATACACTACTAGGAATAGAATTTGGGGGCAAGGCCATAAGGAAAGAAATTCCAGTTCAGCTCTTGCTGGTACTAAATTGTGTGAGGCTAGAAAAACACAATAGTTGTGATAATAAATGTGGCGGCAAGTATTTTCCAAGGCATGAATGTAAGACTAAGCAAATCAATGTTATTTCTGCTTTAATGGAGAATACTGAAGATGAGAAACAAGGAATTATTCTAGAGGAGGAGGGCTATAATGTTGAATATCAGGACGCATGTGGTTATGGATGAAGCTAGCAGTTTAAATACATTAGATGGTACTGAAGTTCCTAATACCATACATTTGCAAGGAGAAGTTAGAAGGAAGACTTTGACTATTTTACTAGACTCTGATAGCACCCACAGTTTTCTTGACCTTGAGACAGATAAATAGATAGGTTGCTAGTAAAACTGCACGTACGAGGGTAACAATAGCTGATGGATACCACTTGATGAGTCTACATACATGGCCTTAGTTCAGATGGAAGATACAAGGTATAGAGTTTGAAGACCCAGTAAGGCTGGTTATATTGGGGGTTGTGATATAATCATTAGTGGAGATTAGATGAAAATACATAATCCAATCCTCTTGAACTTTGTGGCTTATAAGGCCCAAGTGACACACAAAGGTAGGAGAGTGGATCTTAAGGGGATCTATCATCAGGTTTCACTGCAATCTATGTCTAGGAGTAGTGTGAAACATCTGATTAAGAAGAGCAAGATATTTTGGGCTCATTTATTCACTATTTCAACAACTGGGTTAGAGGAAAAAGAAGTTGTACCAACCACCATCATTGCAATTCTTGACCAATTTGCAGACACTTTTAATGAGCCAAAAGCACTCCCTCCACGAAGACAACATGATCACTTTATCCATTGAAACCTACAACAACGCAAGTAAGTATCAGGCCTATAGATACAATTTTTTCCAGAAAAATAAAATTGAGAAACAAGTCAAAAATAAAATAAATAATGGTGTCATTCAACCTAGTCACTCTCCATTCTCATCGCCTGTGTTATTAGTTAAGAAGAAGGATGTGACGTAGAGGTTTTGTGTTGATTATAGAGATCTCAATAAGATAGAAATGAAGGATAAATTTCTACACCACTGGCGGATGACCCATTAGATGAGCTAAGTGGGGCAACTATATTTTCCAAAGTAGACTTAAGAGCAGGCTACCATCAGATAAGGATGATGTTTATAAAATAGTTTTTAGAACTCACTTAGAGCATAATTGTTGATACTCAATTTTTTTCCTCATAGTTTTTCATTCAGCCTTTGTGGGTTATTAATATTTTATATTTTTTTTAAAAATATTTTAATACTATTTAGAGGATATTTTTCTGCATTATTACTCCATTACATGTTCAAAATAACGATTTTACCATTTACGATCACTTCAAAGTATTTTTAAAATTATTATTATAAAAGTAATTTTATTATATTTTATGGACATTATTTTGGTGAATAATCAATTGATTTTAGCATTTTTGTAAATGATAAATAATTTATTTATTATTTTATCATTTATGAGCAACCAATTGGCCAAAATAGCCTTCTTATATTTTATGTGCAATTTTAGCAATTTAAATATCATTTTCTATAAGTTTATTGAATTTTATTTCATTTCTGTGTTATTTGCAATAATAGCATATGTTCTCCATAATTAATTATATTTATTGTATTCTCTTTGTCAAATAATATTTTCCTATTTTATAGTTTTAATTTACTATTTTAAGTCTTTAGTTTTTACACAATAGCATTTTACGTATAGTATTTATAAATTTATTTCTTGTTATTTAATTGTATATATTTTTATTTCAGCCCAATTAAGGCTGAAATTCGGACCAAAGAGGCCCAAATTTTCAGGCCCAACACCCTAGGCCCTGTCCAAACGACCCCTATACCAATGACCCTATCCGTGAATAGCCAAAAGACCCGATTCCACCCCTTTTAAATCCCAACCGTTGATCTAAAATTATCAATGACTCCTAATACCCCTTCCATGTTTACTTATAAATCAACCCCAAATACTAATTCCCATATTTAGTGTCACAATCCAAAATTCCAATCAATGGGAGTCGTGATGGCGCCTAATACCGCTTGATAGGCAAGTCAACATATAACAGATAAATATGAAGGAACTGCAGTAAATGACTAACAATAGATTAACAACATAGCGTGAAAGCAACTCGAAAATATACATAATAAGTCTAAAACCAGCATCTAACGCAAACCATCCCAAGATATGGAGTCACAAGTACATGAGCTTCTAGAGTTTGCTACAGGCACTATTTGAAAGAAATACAATATTGTCTGAAAAATAGAAACAGTATAATAGAAATAGGAAGGTGACTCTAAGGCCTGCAAACGGATTGCAGCTCTAACTCGAATCACTCGTCTAGTATCTGTTAAGCACCTCTCGGGACTATGCTGGTACCAATATCCAAATCTACACAAGAAGTGCAAAAGTATAGTATGAGTACAACTGACCCAATATACTAGTAAGTGTCGAGCCTAACCCCAACGAGGTAGTGACGAGGTTAAGACAAGACACCTACAATAAATTTGTGCAGTTATATATCAAGAAGAAATGAAATAACAGATAAAGTATCAAATAAAACAGCGGGATAATGACAAATGAAAAGGATAACAAGTACACAAGTAAAGGGGCATAAAACGGAAACATAAAGTAACAATTTCTACTTTGAAATTCTTAGATTTGATGATTAATTTATGAAAATATAATTGAAATTGAACAAAAATAAGTTAAGATTACTAACCTATGGATTTGGGAAGAAATTGCTCTCCAAAAAATCGCCTCTATGGAGTCTAAGGTTAAAAAATGATGTAAAATGAGTTTTGTCCCGAAATCCCCATATTTTACGAAACCGCAAATGCAACAATACTTTCGCAATTGCGAAGATCCACTGCCTCACCAAAGCGAACCAAACTCTGCATTTACGAAGCTGCTCAAACAATGCCCAGTATCGTAAATGCGACACAAGAGTTGCAAATGCAAGGAACCCTAGTCCACAAATTCGACGCCTATTTTGCAAAAGCAAAGTGCCCCGCCCCCAGTTCATCTTTGAAATGTGAGTCTGATATTGCAAATGTGAGGCTCGCATTTGCGAAGAGGTCTACACAAATGCGAGACTTGCAGGTTCACAACACCAAAATTTTTTTAACAATTCAAAAACATCTGCAACCCATCTGAAACTCACCCAAGCCCATGGGGCTCCAATTTGAACATTCACACAAGTGTAATAACATCATAAAACTAGCTTACTAGCTCAAATCATCAAAAATAATATCAAAATTGAAGAATCAATCATTAAAACTAAAGATTTTCAAAGTTTAAACTCAATTTCCAATTTTTCACATAATGCGCCGAAACAACCTCAGGTCACCCGGGACCCCAATCAAATATGCGTGCAAGTCCAAAATCATCATATGAACCTACCGAAATCGTTAAAATACCAATCTGAGGTCGTTGACTGTGATCAACTCTAGCCATATTTCAAGTCATAAATCATTAAATTGAGTTATAAAAAGTCTCAAAACATAGAAAATGAAGATAGTACTCAAAACGATCTATCGGGTTTGTTACATTCTCCACTTTTAAGAGAAACGTTCGTCTTCGAACGGACATAGAAATGTACCTGGACTGGCAAAAAGGTGCGGGTATCGACCAGGAACCTTCCACTTAACTCAATCCAGGAGAACATCACAACATGCAATAAACTTTCCATACTCGTAGACGACATCAGACTCAAGCCGTGGTCGAAGTTATCAAGGACTCTTTGGAACCCATTGCACATAACCAAACTATCAGAACTAAACCCCTCTAAATCAACCAAGTCACATAGACTGCCAAACCCAAAAGTATTGCTACAAAACTCCTATAAAGTCCGATCATACTAAAGGAACCAATTATTTTTATTACTATGCTGATCCAATCCACTACTAAGTTGACACAACTTCTTCAGATTCCTCTTGACTTGTCTTCATGATAACACTTCGCTTTCCTAGTTTACTATGGACCCTGATCAACACTCATCCCAAGTGATCCTAATATAAAACCACGTCGTCCTAATACCCATAATCATTTTATTCCCTCTCTTGCATCTAGTAGTACCTCAAAATAAAATGCCCACTCTAAGAAGACCTTCTGTGCATCCGAAGCTATTTATTTCATCTATCTAATACTGCAATGTAGAATCAATAATGATATAGAATTACCATAAGTCTCAATACCATCCAATGAAAATCTCAATTCTTAGCCATACACAGACCCGGGAATCCTTAGATATCATATATTGAATTCTTGAACCCATTAGAACCTCCTCAAGAGTCATCCACTCTGCTCTAATCTCCAATGTACAGCCAGTACACGCTGAATGACTTGTGCTCCATTAGCACATAAGTATTTTAAGAAGCAACCTCATCCTTAAGCAATCGACTGAATCCTTTCTCCTTTCACACTCCATCCATAATGAATATCAAATCTGAGTTATTCCACAACCTTTATATATCGATAAAGTATATTACATCAATGCATCCAATAATTCCTTGGCCAAATCATCCTCTATGACACCCTTCTCAAACCGTATCTAACCCACAAGCATATCCAAGTCCATGAACTACAACAACACATGCCCATATGACCAGATCATCGATGGGAGACTCCCTCCACTTGGCTTGAAGTCACAAAGATATCATCTGATAACCCATAATATACTTCATTCTTAACCACCATGGTCCCATATTGTTACTCGGCTGAACTTCTCATAAGCTTATATAGCACCAGTCATACACATTCCAAAATCATCAGCCTAATTACGTACTCATCCTTGTGATAGTCCTGTCAACTTTCTCAAGCGATTCGAACTCATATTGTAGTATATACAGTCCACTAGATAAAAGAAAAACTCTTCATATGAGCGTCATAAGAACCGTACAACCTCAAACTCGGAAAACTCCATAAATTAAATAACTACTGGAGTTTGAACTTAGTTCCTAAAGTTTGACATGTGCAATTAGAATTCCACCAATAATTATTGAAGTTTAAACCTTTTTCAATTCAACCTTCAGGAACAATTTCTGGAGTTCGAGTTCACATTGTTGGGTTTGTGCTTCCCGATAGTGACCTAATTTTCATGCACATACTGATGACAACTCGGCAAATACTGCAATAATTTTGCTTTGGAAAGGCATCAACGCCTATGCAGAAAACAAAGAAACAAAATAAAATTGTTCTTCTCCAAAAGAACAATAAACTCGCCAAATTTCTCACTGAGGAACAGGACCATCGAATCAATATTTGAGGTGAGAATAAAGCTGCAAAAAAACAAAAAACTGTTCAACATCAGAAACCTGTCAACTTTACTGATGTTTAATGATGCTTAGAGTTTGCTTCATTGCAATATGCTACTTATCATATTCCTATGATCAATATGACGTCATCGCATTGGCAATAGTCAAAGACAATGCATTAACTAGGAAAGTTCTTGGAGCTCAAAGTAATAAGAGCTTAAAATTCATGAATTTTTCCTAGAGTTTTAGTGTACATTTAAAATCCAGGAACAATTCCTAGAGTTTTGAGCTATAAATTTTTAAACTCCAGTAATTGTCTTAGATCTTTCATGTTTTATGTAGGGGTATTTTTGTTCAGACTAATATCTTTGTATTAAAGAGTGACTAATTTGTCAATACAATTTAAAATCTAGCTAAACTCTAATAGCCGATCCAAAAAGTGGCCCACCTAACTAATTTTTTCGAACTTGTTTTGCTATAAAGTGGTACCTTTAGTCTAAATGAATAATAAAAATATGGGCCCGGGGTACTATTATTAGTGGTCAAACTTCAATTATAGGAGTAAAATATGATATAAGTGCAGATATACTCGATTTTGGGACCACCATTAAAGTCATACTCGCATTGTATAAAAATTTACAAAATTTATCCACTTCACAACGCACTTCAGAATTCGCATCTGATTGCTTCAAAATTTGCATATGAAGTTATAAATTTATGGGTTCAGAATTTGATCTTAAGCTCTTTTTTATCTACTCAATGCAATTTCATAATCGTATATAGAGTTCTTCTATCTCTCCAATGCAACTTTAGAATCAGAATTCGAAGTTCTTCTATCTCTTCAATGCAACTTCACAATCGAATCCGAAGTTCTTCTATCTCTCAGGAAGTCCATTTTATCGGTTTCAGCAAGGTCACCATCGAGTAAACTTTCTCTAGGTTCAACAACAATAGCTTTTGATTTCTCTAATACAGTCTAAAAGTACCAACTCAAAGTTTGAATTTTTGTTTTAAGACAAGGAAAAAGAAGAAGAATAGAAGCAATAACAGTAAAGAAGCAACGACAAAGAAAGCGACAGCAAAAGAAGAAAGCGGTTTGTGAAGTTACCTTTTTTTTTCTTTCAAAAGTCCACCATTGGTGGGTGTTGGGGTTTAGGCAGTAGCCTAAATTTTTTGAAGTTACCTAAATATTGAGTGATTAAAAAACTTAAATATTGAGTATTAGTTAATATTATTTTTTTTAAAAAAATGATACATTCTAAATGGGGTCAATCAAATAAGGCCCCGTGAAATTTTTTTGAAACTACGAAAGAATGAATAAAAAGGAAAAAAAATGGATTGAACTCCGCCACATTGGAGTGACAGTCGTCAAATAAAATTTGGATTGAGCAAACAAAAAGAAAAATCAAAAAGTCATGGTAGTAATTTTGGGTGTCCTCTTTTCCTAGCATTCGCTTTCCCTTTCACGGTAGAAAAATCAACCAATTCATACATACAGATTACAGAGAGAGAGAGAGAGAGACCCAGAAAAAGGGGGATACCCACTTTCTCGAATATGATCAATAATGGAAAGAGGCTCAAATAAGAGAATTGCCCAACAAGTTCAACATATACCACCACAAAGCACAATATTATGAATCTATCTCACAAGGTAGAAACAAAACATACGGAATAAGCTCGAGAAATCGTATCCCAACATAACCCGCTGCGCCGCGTAACCCGATACAACATATCAATCTACATGGGGATTTCCATCAAGCTATAATGCTTACAATCAATAAACACATGGAGAGACAGATAGCATAATATACCACAGACATGCAAAGCACGACTAAGTTGTAATAAGCAATTCATATCTCAAGAGCCATCTCGCTCAAATATCACCACAAGGCCAAAACTGAACCACATCATACGTGTGAATAGTCAAATAGTCTCACACCCCATCTTACCATAAGAGAGTAACACAAGAGACAGATCAGGGCATGCACAAGATCAACTCTAGCCGATGACACACCCCTAGAAAATATTGTGTTGAACAAACCAATCCAATCCAGTGCAGAATACACATTCCTACTAGGCCTGCCAATATGCCCTCAAACCGATTCAAATCATTCCAATTAGGTGAATAGACTCCCAAAGGTCCACGATGACCTATACATAACATATTTAATTAGTTGTCTAACCCTTAATACACATTCACAGTCCACAACCAAAGGGATAGTCCGCCTCTCGGACGATCCAATCTCTAAATCTCATGAATATAAGAATCTCCATACCTTATCCAAATTCTTTCACCTAAATAACTATCACTTCATGCATACATAATCACCTCATGAGAAATACTCCTCTAAATCCTCCGCATCGAGTAGCGAATCCGAATATCAACGGCTATCAACTATACGATTTGGAAAATATTACATGTTGTCTAGAACTCGTGACCTTCCTTTCGAAAATGGACCGCAACCTTGATCATTCAATCCTAGTCCCATACAACTTAACGCATCCATAACGCTATTATGTGAAAATACAAGAACTCGGGTATCAACCTTGAATCATAAGTAGGATAGCATTCCATCAACTAGGAACCTTCCAATTAACTCAATCCAGGTAAATATCGCAACATGCAACAAACCTTCCATACTCGTAGAAGACACCAGTCTCAAGCCGTGGTCGAAATCATCGTGGACTCTTCGAAACCCATTACACATAACCAAGTTATCAGAACTGAACCCCTCTAAATCAGCCAAGTCACGCAGACTATCAAACCAAAAGTATTGCTATAAAACTCCTGTAAAGCCCTATCATACCAAAGGAACCGATAATTTCTATTACTATGTTGATCCAATGCATTGTTAAGTTGACCCAACTTCTTCAAATTCCTCTTGACTTGTCTTCAAGATAACACTTCTCTTTTCCAGTATACTATGGACCCCCAAACACTTATCCCAAGTGATCCTAATATGAAATCACATTGTTCCAAGACCCATAACTATTTTATTCCCTCTCCTACACCTAATAGTACCTCAAACCAAAATGTCCACTCTGAAGAGATCGTATGTGCATCCGAAGCTATTTCTTTCATCTAATATTGCAATGTACAATCAATAATGATATAGAAATACCACAAGTCTCAGCACCATCCAATGCAAATCTCAAATCTTAGCCATACACAGATCCGGAGATCCTTAGGTACCACATATTGAATTCTCTAACCTAGTAGAATCTCCTCGAGATTCGTCCACTCTGCTTTAATCTACAATGTACAACTAGTATGCGCCGAACAACTTGTGCTCCATTAACACACAAATACTTTAAGAAGCAACCTCATCCTTATGCAACCGACTGAATCATTTCTCTTTTCATACTACATCCACAATGAATATCAAAGCTGAGTCATCCACAATGAATATCAAAGCTGAGTCATCCACAACGTTCATATATCGATCAAGTATATTACATAAATGCATCCAGCAATGCCTTACCCAAATCATCCTCGATGACACCTTTCTCAAACTGTATCCAACCTACAAGCATATCTAAGTCCATGAACTACAACAACACATGCCCATATGACCTGATCGTCGATGGTAGACTCCCGCCACTTCGCTTGAAGCCACAAACATATCATCTGATAACCTACAATTTTCTTCCTTCTTAACTGCCATGGTCCTACACTGTTACTACGCTGAACTTCTTATAAGCTCATATAGCATCAGACATACACATTCCAAATCATCAGCTCAATTGCATACTCATCCTTGTGACAGTCCTGCCAACTTTCGCAAGCGACCGAACTCATAATGTAGTACATACATTCCACTAGATAAAAGAAAGACTCTTCATGGGAGCCTCATAAGAACATACAACCTCAAACTCGGAAAACTCTAGGAACAACTGTTGGAGTTTGAACTTAGTTCCTAGAGTTTGACATGTGCAATTAGAACTTCACCAATAATTATTGGAGTTTAAACCTTTTTCTGTTCAAACTTCAAGAATAATTCCTGGAGTTTGAGTTCACACTGTTGGTTTTGTGCTTCCCAATAGTGACTCTATTTTCATGCATATACTGACGGCAACTCGGCAAATGCTGCAACAATTTTGCTTTAGAAAGGCACCAACGCCTATGTAGAAAATAAAGAAACAAAAGAAAATTGTCCTTCCCCAAAAGAACAATAAACTTGCCAGATTTCTCACTAAGGAACACGACCATCGAATCAATATTTGGGGTGAGAATAAAGCTGCAAAAAAATAAAAAATTGTTCAACATCAGAACTTGTCAACTTTACTAATGTTTGATGATGCTTAGAGTTTGCTTCACTGCAATATGCTATTTGCTGTATTCCCATGATCAGTATGACCTCATCGCACTTGAAATAGTCAAAGACAATATATTCAAACTTTAGGAAAGTTCCTAGAGCTCAAAGTATAATAGCTTAAAATTCATGAATTTTTCCTAGAGTTTCATTGTACATTTCAAAATCCAGGAACAATTGCTAGAGTTTGAGCTATAAATTTTTAAACTCCAGTAATCGTCCTGGATCTTTCATGTTTTATGTATGGGTACTTTGTCCATACTTATATTTTTGCATTAAAGAGTGACTAATTTGTCAATACAATTTAAAATCTGGCTAAACTCTAATAGCTGATCTAAAAAGTGGCTCACCCAACTAATTTTTTAAAACTTTTTGGATATAAAGTGCTACCTTTAGGCTAAATGAATAATGAAAATATGGGCCCGCGCATGGGTCAGCCCGTAGACAATTATTAGTGGTCAAACTTCAAACACAGGAGTAAATAGGCGATATAAGTACATATATACTCGATTTTGGGACCACCATTAAAGTCACACCCGTATTGCACAAAAAATTATAAAATTTATCCACTTCAAAACGCACTTCAGAATTTGCATCTGATTGCTTCAGAATTCGCATCTAAAGTTATAAATTTATGGGTTCAGAATCTGATATGAAGCTCTTTTATATCTACTCAATGCAATTTCGAAATCGAATTTGAAGTTTTTCTATCTCTATAATGCAACTTTAGAATTAGGATTTGAAGTTATTCTATCCCTTCAATGCAATTTCACAATCGAATCTGAAGTTCTTCTATCTCTCAAGAGATCCATTTTATCAGTTTCAGCAATGTCACCATCGAACAAGCTTTCTCTAGGTTCAACAACGGTAGCTATTGATTTCTCTAATATAGTGTAGAAGTACCAATTCAAAGTTTGAATCTTTGTTTTAAGACAAGGAAAAAGAAGAAGAATAGAAGCAGCACCAAAGAAGCAAACGGCATAGAAAGCAGCAGCAGGGAAGAAATGTGAAGCTACCTAAATATTGAGTATTAGTTAATTTGTTTAAAAAAAAAAAATAGGTACATTCTAAACGGGGCAATCACGTGAACTTTTTTGAAAATACGGAGGAATGAATAAAAGGGAAAAAAATGGACTGAACTTCGCCACATTGGAGTGACAGCCGTCAAGTCAAATTTGGATTGAGCAAACAAAAAGAAAAATCAAAAAGTCGTGGTAGTAATTTTTGGCGTCCTCCTTTCCCAGCATTCGCTTTCCCTTTCACAGTAGAAAAATCAACCAATTCATACATACATATTACAGAGAGAGAGACCCAGAAAAAAGGGGGATACCCACTTTCTCAATGGACACTGCAGCAGCTGATAGGATCATTGAAAAGCTAATAGAAGTCCGATCATCGAAGCCTGGAAAGTTGGTGCAGCTGTCCGAGTCTGAAATCAAGCAACTGTGTGTTGCCTCTCGTGATATCTTCCTCAAACAGCCCAATCTCCTTGAACTTGAAGCACCCATCAAAATTTGCGGTACTAACTATTCCCTTTAACCACTATATATTGGAACTCTATGCATTTCTAGGGGAGATATCGTTTAACCCTTGCTCTGTTTAACTTTTTGATATCTTGTAAAGAAAAAAAAATTGCCCCGTTTTACTTTTGTATCAACTGACTGGCTGGATACACCTTTTTGTTTGTTTTTGTTTGTCTCTATTGAGTTTTTGCTATATGGTTGCTCGAAGTTTCTCGCTAAGTGCTTGGTAGGTTTAGAACTGAGAACCTTGTTCTATAATCCCTTTGATCCCGTTAACTTTAGAGGGGACAATGAAACTGAAAGGTTGTCAGTCTAGGCAATCGGCAATCCATATATTGTTTGGAGGAATTTCTGTTGTGAATTAATGAAATTATGAAGTCCTTTTGTGTCATAGTGGCTGCCCTAGTATTTTTTTCTTTTATTTTGTATTTTCTAATGTTTGATGTTTGTCTGTCTGTATATCCGTGACTTCTTGAAATATGCTACATGCTTAGTCTGGTGAAACGTGAAGACAACAGTCTTCACTTGAATCCCGCAGAGTCTGATTTACCCTAAATATTTTGAGTAAAAGGAGATTCATCAGAGAAAGTTCTGGTCAACTCTGCAGCTCTGCTGTGTTTGAAATGTTGCATGTTTATATCGTACTAATGCAAAACGACGTATTAAGAAAATATTATGCAGATTGCACAATGGGTTTGCTCTGGCCTAAGGTTTAGGACGTCGTTTCTAGAATATTGAGGTTTCAAAGTGATGTTGTACGAGTTCGAATAAAACTATAATGGTTTACTTTGAAGAAAAACCACCACCTCTGAAGCTGACTTCCTCTAGGGATTTGGGGCCTCTGGCAATCCAAGTAAAGAATAATGTTATAATACGATGAAAAGATCCACTATCTACGTTAAGTATCCCTTCCACTGGAGGGCGATCCATTGCCACTGTCATAAGTCCTCACTGTTTACTTCTACTCTTTTTGATCAGGAGATTACCTTGTTTGGCTACTTCCCTTTTTTCATCAAAAGTAGGCTACCATTTTCTAATCAACAGCTCATCATCTCTTTATCAGTCGCCATTATGTGTCCTATTCTCTATGTAGACACTTTAGGGGAACAAAACTAAGGCAGTTATCATGGTATCATGCCTTTTTTGTTCTTCTCTGTTGCTACACATTTGTTTTTTGGGTTGGAAGCAGTATACTATTCTTAACTTGTACGGGTTTCAGTTTTGACTTCATAGACCTCTTTCTATTCAATATTTTTAAGAGACATGTTGAAGCAGCTTTTGTATGTGCAGGGATTACTCCTTCAGTTAGATTAGAGATGTTGCCTTAACTCCATTCGTCAAATATGAAGTCATTGGTTAAAGTTGCATTTAACTAGGGGCGTCACTGCTTTATCGAAAAACAAGGGGTGTCACTGTTGTTTTGAAAAAGATGCTTATTTTTTGGTTAATATATTGCATATAACTAATATTAGATTTTTCCGAACCATCCCAATTTTCTTAGTTTTACGGTGTTATCTGTTAGGTTCAGTTACTTTGCAGTGCTTACGTTTTAAAAAAGACGCATAAGAATATTTACTAGGATGCCTCATTTGTCATGTAAAATAAGAAAATTTAACTTAACACGAAAAATTATAAAACTCTCACTACATTTTGCATTACCGATAAAAAAAAAGTCTTCACTATTAAAACAAGAAAACTAGTAAGTGATTCCTTATCCAAAAAAAAAAAGCAAGTGATATTTATATTAAAAGTAGAAGACCAGATGAGCAAGAGCAACAATAACTTTTCTCTGCCGTCATCAGAAATGTCATTTGAAAGCTTTGACTTCTGTTAGTTGGCATTAAACTTTGGCGTCTGTTAGTTGTTGAAGCCAGGGATGATACTGGATCACCAATAGAGGTAGATGCCAACTTGGGACCAAGTTGCGATCCCTTTGTTCTGTTGCAGGTTAAGCCATGTAACTGGCTTTTGCAGCAGTTTTCACTTGATATCATCCTCAGCATGGAGACAAGGGTGAACAGTGACCATAGTTTCTGGCAAAACCGAATGGGGATGCTGATTGATTCTTGTGCTCTCCAACCCTTGAGGAGTAAAGTTCAATTGATACCTTGTCAAAAATCACTAAAGATATCAATTGTTGCACCAGATTCTGGCGAACTGGAACCTAATATGATACCTCAAGTTAGTAATTTTCATGAATATAGCCAAAGTAATAAAAAGAACAAAAGATGATACATTTGACAAAATTAATAAGAAAAATAATAGAATGTAGATGTGGTAATTTACCAGATTTATCTTGTAATACAGAGAAAGAAGGTGGAGAAAATGCTCGCACCAGTGGTTGTCTAGATGTCTCCTGTAGGACGAGGATGGGATTTCCTCCCAAGTTCTGTGTCTGAGCGAGCTTGTGCATCTTGAGTGCATGGCTCAATTGTATTGAGGGTGCTTTGAGTTGTTTTTAATCGTCTCGTGTTGTCTACTGAAGGAATCTGCCTTTTTATGTCCATTTGAAATCTTAGGGTGGTTCATCTGGATTGGTTACTTAGGGTGGTTCTCTGAATTGTGCCATTTGTAGTTAACATTTCTCCAAAAGAAATGGCTAGTCAAGCACTCATTCCTTTTATTGTGACAGTTGTCAATTGACACGAGGCTAAGATTGGCATAGGGACGGGTATGGTATTATTGCCAAGTGGAATTAACGCAGGTAAACTGACAGTGTTGAATCTTTATGTAATGCTCGAGCTCTCCTATTCTCAACCCAGGAAGTTGAGGAAGATGTTCATTGTTGTGCCTTGACTTTTACCAAATTTTTTTCATAGATAATTTCTTTAACCAATGTTCAATGGATGAACTGCTCTTCTTTAAAACTTCAAGATGATTCGACTCAGCCTTTAGAGGCTCATATATCGACAACAATTTACTAGATTGTTACATAAAATATGATATATCAAGACAAAGGAAAACTAAATTAGGTGGGTTAATAAAAAGGAACTAAAACGAATTAACTTCATTTTCTTATGGGTACCACATGCAGTGCATTTATTATGTCTTGTCTATTGCTTTTCCATAACTCCAAATTTTTGGTTGACTCCCTTGCTAGTTGCAAATTAACACAATATTATCTGCAAATAGCATGCGCCGCAGAACCTCGTCCTCTATTTTATTGGTTAGCTCCTATCTAATTAGGGTAAAACAAGTATGAGTTGACGGCAGATTTGGGTGTGAACTCGTGTTATGGGGCATGTCCTGCATCTCCTCCCACTTTTCTTGTGAGTGCTCATTTGTACATATCCTTTATATTCTGAAAGGAATTCATTTCTTCTCAGATATCCACCAAGGAATTTTTCTTGACACGCCGTCTTATGCTTTCTCTACATCACTAAATATTATGTCAGTAGCTTCCTATTACTATAAATTTCCATAATTATTTTTAGTGAAAATGTAGACATAAATCTATTGTGGTTCTTCATCACCTTTGTAGTGTCCCCAAGTTTATGCTCATCATCCAAGTCTGTCATATAACTCATAATTTTAATACCATAGTAGTTTGTGCGACTTTGAATATCTTTTTTGTTCTTATTAATCAAAAAGTAGGTACTCTTCCTCCAACCTTTGGGCCTCTTTCCTTTTTTGATGAAGTAAGGGATATCATTAATGGCATCAAGTAGATGCAATTAGTACAAACCTTTGGGCCTCTTTCCTCTCCTTGATAAACTTTGAATAGTTTGGTTAGTGATGGTACTCTAACTAAGCTAAGACACATCCAAATCTCTATGATACCCTATGGACCATAGGCTTTTCTCCCTTACATTTTCTCTGCTACTCCTTTACTTGAGCAGACCTAATTCCCAGCAATCTAATGGATATATGTGTGTGTGTGTGTGTGAGAGAGAGAGAGAGAGAGAGAGAGAGAGAGAGAGAGAGAGAGATTGAATCAACGGACCAAATGACAATTTTGGTCCACAATTTGCATGGAGAAGACCATCACAGTCAATTGCTACGTAAATAACCTACCGTATGCAATATGGTAGTGCAGTTTTTGATATTGTTGTTACTTGTTACCCAACAAATAAAATGGGGTCTACTCTTTAATCAGGATTGATCAGCTTGGTGCTACATATAGTATACGTGGAGCCTGCAGCAGTTTGTTGGAAGGACCCATCGATGGAGCTGCTATAATAAAGTAGAGAATGAGTGACACAACACTTGCACAATAACTTGGTCTGACAATGTGAACTTGTCCCAAAGGAAGAGGGGTTTTTTATTATTTATTTTTTTTTGGGG